AAAAAAAGGGAAGAGAAAGAGAGAGAAGGAGGGAAAGGAAGAGATGAGATGAGAATTTGTATACAAAAGAATTATTAGGAAGGACATTTATGAATTCCGCAAATTCAATGTAGATAGAGTGGATAATAGAGAGAAAAGGAAGAGGAAAAAGCTTGGCAAGGGAAGGGCAAGTACTGCATTGCAGAAAAATAATGTGTAATGTGGTTGAAGGGGGGATAGGAGGGGGGACCCTCCTCTCCTATCTTCTATAAGCTTACTATTAAGCTGAGCTATGAAGCTTTCAACAATTTAGCTTTCCGTTTTGCCTGTCAACTGTCACAAGCGCCTCAATGCCCACCTCCTTACTACTTTCTCCTCCTCTCCTTTTACACTCTCTTCCGTATACCAAACTTCATATTTTTATATTTCAGGTTTTTAGTTAAGTTAGCATACAAAAGGAAAGCTTCCAAAAAGCTAATAATGCTTAATTTATTAAATTATCGATTTTGCTCCAATGTGATTGAAAATGCCAAAGGAGTGACATGCTGTTACCGATTAGGTAATGAAATAGGGTTAGCTCCTGGAAGACACACGATGTATTTTCTTGCCTATCAAAGCTATTTACATATATATATATATATATATATATTTTGGTAATGTGCTAACTGTTCCAATGATTGTAGAGAGAGAAGCAAGCGGGGAGAACAATGCAGTGCATCTGGGAAATAAATAATAGTTTTGTTTGTAAACATTATGCACCATAAGCTCTCCCACTATGATATAACAAAACATCCAATAATACATAGCTTACAGGGGTAATTAAATTCATAATTAATTTCAAGTTTTCGATATGAAGAATGCAAAGAGATCCAAAACTTACTATGATCAATAGAGAATAACCAAGTAAAGAGAATGAAAATTAATTAAATATGTTAAGTATTAACCTCCTCTTTCTCCTCCTCCTTGCTTGAATTACGAATTTGCCTTTAGCATCTTAATTTTGGTCATTTTGGTCACGAAAAAGTAGCTCAGGTCATTTCGGTCATTTAGACTAGGTAAATCATCAATGTTTAGTAACCCAGAAACTTTTGCAGACTAGTGTTCTAACATATTCTGGTTGCAACTTTTAGAATTTCCAAAACTGCATTTATGAAGGAGGAAATATAAGGAAGGGAGGAGACGGTTAAAAAATGGTATGATATGGGGATAAAGAGAATGAATGGGCAGTATCGGATGAGAAATGACAGCAAATGAAGAGGAGGAATGGAGGGATGTGATGACGATGCTTCCTTCCAGCAAAACAACTATCAAAATTCATCCCACCAATAAATTTTATCACATATCTATTATAGCTTACTTCCGTTGAACAGTGATGAAAATTCTATTATAATACCACTTAATTTCCCATTTATTCAGTGAATGGCTATTTTTGAAGTTTTTGAAGTTTACCTAAACTGATAATATATTGCAAGCAAATATGTTTCATTGTGACTCAGTTGTTTTGCAAGATTCTGAGCGATTCAGATTCTTTTCTTGTAAGTCTTATCTGAGAAAATAAAAAGAAGAGATGTATGTGTATCGGGGAATCCCTATAATTCCTTGCATTAGAGTTCCCTTTTTCAATGCCGTTATAAAAAAATTGTAAATCAGAGGAAACGCAACTGGACGATGTCATTCGAAATCTTCGGGCTCAAACTATCCATACTAGTTATTCCAGATAAATTTGTCCGGTATTTTCGGTGAAAGTGTGTCATAAAAAAAAAAACGATTATTATTATATTGCAGGATGAATACTATTTCATGCATATATTTCAACGATTATTTCTGCTTCTTGATGATTTACTTTATATTATATATAGAGCTAAAGTTTCGAGTATTTCACACAAACACAAAAAGAATGGCACTAAAAGTAAATGAATTTTAAATAGTAAATAAACCATTAAATGTAAAATTTCAACTATTTAAATTTGAAATGAGCTGAGAGAGAGGAAAAAGAAAAGAAAAAAATGATAACATTGGAATAACAAGTAATATTGATAAAAGCAAAAGAGAAAAAGATGGAAATGTTTGATCATCATATCAACTGTTTGTTATTGAATGATATACATCATCAAATATTCAAAGTACATTTCGGCAGTGAGCCAATACTTTCAAGTAACATTCATCCAGACAGAATCAACAATACATACTAAGATTATCGTTGGATAATCCGACTTCCTCGTAAAAAGAAGAAAAAAAAAGAATAAAGATAAATAAGTTTTCGAAGTTCATTTATTACAGGAACAAATATCGCTGTGTCCAAACGATAGCGTTACATGGGATGAAATAAGTGGAAAGGTGATTTCCATAATTCCGGATGGTATCACCGGATAATGCTAGATAAGCAAGAAATCCCAGCAACCTTTCATCTGCTGTCTTTAATAACTCGATCACTGGATAATGCTTTAGAATCAGGCTAACATGAACTAGTAATCTATGGCATTGTTTTAATTGTTTAATTAGCGGAAATATTTCCTGAACGATTTCTACCTTATTGATATCAATATAGATATGAATATCTTATCAAAATGTAACAGCGTGGGAAATAAAAAGTTCATAGAAATGCAAATGTAATGATAGAATCAAGATTTTGTAATCATTAAACTGGAATTTTTCACTGTTTTCATAACAAGTGACATGTTTTCTTTTTAAATATGCTAAATGTTTTCTATTTTTTGAAAATGGAATAAGTGTATCTTGAAGAGAAAAAGCACGAAGATAATGTTATCATTTCTGATATTCTTCATCATCACTACAATAAATTATTAAGTAATAATTTATAAACTATTGTTGAACTTCAAAAATTTCAGTAAACATAAGATAGCGCTATGAATAGGAATAAGTAGGAAGTGATAATCACTAATAATCGATATGCAAAGCACCACACCTTATCAGTGCACGCTTTGCAATCATCTTTTCTAAGATTGATCGATAATCAGACGAATTCTATTCTTTTCATAACTGGCAAGTTAATGAGACACAATGGAATGAGAACAAGTACATCTTCCCGAGATTCCTGACCAACATTGCCTTATCCGAAATAAAATGATTCTAAAGGATTGATCCATTCAGGTCTTGACATAAAATTAGCTAACATATCCATAATCCAATTCTAATCTATTCACCCCTAAGCTTGTTTTTGTTTAAAGCCTATTAATCCAAGCTTACCCTGATATTATCTCGTCCTTTCTACTTAATCGAAAATAAATCAGTAGTGGAATATATAACAACATTTCATACAGTGTTATGTCCTCTAAAATTCAATGATATGAACGAAGCCAACAAACAGGCACTAAAATACGTAAAACTAGAACAAAACAGGAAAAAAAAATTTCCTCAGTTCAAAATGATAGAAGGTGTTCGGAAGTGAAACAAGCAGCAATTTTCAACAATTTTTCAATCTGATAATGTTATATTAACTATAACATTTACCAATATGTGAAAAGTTGGTAAAAATAAAGAGAAAAAGAAATGAACTGATAAGTTGCAATGGGATGTTATCAACTCATGTGATAGGATTTTTTGTATCATTAGGAATAAGACAAGGAATGAGTCGTTTTGAAGTTATCATATCATGAAACAAAACTGGCAAGTGTCAGGGTGTGTATGTATCGGTGTTTTTGTGTAAAACCTCAAGTAAAAGCACTGACAAAATGGAAGTGCACTGTAGCGGGCGGTCAGAATTCTATGACAGATAGTGATGGCTACGATCTTGGACATTGGACATTAGCTGGCTGCTCCTCAGAGCATTAATGGGTACTTAGATGGATGGAAAAGCTCACACCATTATTGCCCACCCATTGCTTACCCTAACAGCTAACACTACCACCATCACTACACCAACAGCCCATCAATGACATCTACAAGCTGACATAGTCCCTCTCTTTTTGCTAATCTCTTGCCAATTTCCGATAGCTAGGTCGATTCTGTAATTTGAATTGTTGTTCGTAAGCTGTTTGATAACCTAACAGAGATAAGATTGCAGCTGCTTCGATGTCACTTGCAACTTCAGCCCTAGCTGTAAGCAATCTCAAAGCGATTCTCAATGAATTTAACTAATATTCCTTTTTTGTTCTTTTTTTTCTCCTTTTTCTTCTTTACCGAGGAAAAACACAGCCAGCTAAATATTATTGATGATTGGTTAGATGAGGTAACAAGAGAAAAACATGATAGGTCTTGTCGTGTTCACCTCGACCATAGTAGCAGTACCAGCCAGAAAAAGCCAAATGAATATGTTGTCTCGCCATTGTCAGCCCATTTCCTTAATATGGTTTTCATTCAACAATATCAACGTATTGTTATCAGTCATCAATACACTTATAATAACAAATAGTATTAGCAGTAATAGCGAAGTACCACTAACGACTGCTTCTGCAATACAAAGCATTATTGTTGTTGTTTAGCTGTTATTGTTTTGTTTTTAGTTGTTGTTGTTGTTGCTGTTGCTGTTGCTGTTATTGTTGCGGCATATCAACAAAGTTCTATGCTGTTTTTTAGCTAGTTGATAGCAGCAGCAGCGG